AGCTTGTAGAACTCCACCGCAGTTCAGAGCTCTGCAAAAAATTATTGTATTTTAACCTTGGTTGAGGCGATGGTTATTCTAACTGTTCCATTGTATGGCTCTTTATGGTGTTTTACAATAACACATCGTTTAATTATTCCTTGTGAAGTAGGAACGTTCCCATCTTACACGTCGAATACTGAGAAAGAGTAAGACTGAGTAACGTGCTTTGAAGGTGCACTCCAACGCAACGTCCCCAAGCTCCCACCTGCCAGGCTGGCCACTCCGAGATCACCCAGGGACCTGTCCACGCACTTCCCCCACCGACCGGGCAAGGATGGGAATCTAGTCCCCTTTCTTTCTCCGGGGCTCTCACAGGGGACGTGGGCACCTCCACAGACACTTCTTGTCAAAAAGACCAAAGGATGAAGACAGCAGAAAAGTCCCCAGTGCGAGCAGGCAGGGAGACCGCGGTGCCCAGGCTGCTGGGGGACACGCGGCAGGTGGGACAGTCCCATGCGTCTGGGAGCGTTTGCAGCACCAGCCAGCGAGCCCCGGATGTGCCGCAGAACAAGCAGACCCTGTGTCAGGCCAGACTGGAAACCCTCCCCCTCGGAGGAGGCTCAGGCTCCTGTCAGAAGAGGGTCGGGCACGTTTCCCGTAGACAGTAGCAAAGCACGGTAATGAGCTCAGTCATCCGGTCAGAATTCGACGATCCTGTAACCTCAAGAGGAATCTTTCAACCTGCAAGCTCTGTTCAGAACACGGGGAAATGCGCCCTGCTCCACCCCATGCTAAACTGAAATAGGTCTTTGCGCCCTGAAACTGGGGAGGACGGTGTTTGGGCCTGGAGTCCAAGATGGGGCCTCTCCACCTTGCTTTGCGTGTCTGCCACGACACCCGTGGGGCAGAATATTCCTCGTGGAAACCAGTCCCAGGGAGGGACTCGGGCCTCCAGCAACGGCTCTGGCCACTGTCGCGTCTCCTTAGCCCCCTTGGTCCACCCGTCGGCTCGTTCGGACGCGCAACGCCAGGCTACCCGAGGCAGTAGGTGACGTCTAACGCAGAAGACCAGCGAGCCTTCCTCCCACCTCCCTGAAAAAATTAAAATGAAATAAAAATCAAGATTTCTCACGCTTCCCTCTGCCTCTGGGCGGGGACCCCGGCCCTCCTCGCTGTGATCTGGACACGTCTCCAGCGGCCTCCCCAGACCACACGCATGCATTTCCTGACTCCCGCGAGGCGTGGGGTCCCTCCCTGCTGGGCCTCCCACCTCGCCGGCACCAGGCCTGGGCCATCGTCTCCAGAATATTCTGCAAGGGCCTTGCTGCCCCAGGAGGTACGTGGGGTCCCTGACTAAATCAGCACATTCCAGGTTCCACAGGCTCTGACCCTGAGAAACCGAAGGTCAGTCCGAATCAGACTTGTCTCGGCCTGGTCTGCACCCAGGAGCACCGCGTCATTTACTCACAACATCTGAAACCTCCCAGCTGGAGGCACGTCCCAGGCCAGCGTGAGGGAGGCCTCTGCACAAATATCCATCAGCTCTGTGCTGTGGGGACCGGGAAGGGGTGGCCCTCCGCACAGGGGGACACTGGCAGCAGAAGGGGAGCAAAGTGCTGCAGGAGCCAGAGGACGCTGAGCGCTGGCTTTTTGCAGACCCCTGAAGACCTGAAGGCCTTGGTGGCATTTCCTCCGTGTCCGGGAGAGACAGGCAGCTGTGTGGGCTCAGGGCCCACCGGGGAAAGAGCCAGACACTTACGGGAAGCACCGGAGAGTGAGTGTGGTGAGAGGGGTGGGCGGTAGACAGGGGCAGGATTTAACCCCACAGGGCGGCTGGAGTTAAGACTGTGATCTTCAGACAGGGAGAAGAACGTCGAAGGTTTGCACAGAGGCCTGAGGCCATTGGTGCCGTGCTTTAGCAGAGTTGTTCTCGCTGAAGACCCCGGGGGCAGCGGCGGGGGGAACAAGGCCTGCAGGAAGGACGGTGGCCAGGAGAGATCTGAGAGGGAAGGGGTATGACGTAGTCCTGGCTCCGTGCACCAGACAGAGGCTGCTGGTCAGACGACCGGAGGGGGAACCCCTGGGCCGGCTCCCTGGTCAGTGGGCAGGTGGGGAGAGAAGGCACGTCCTGCCCTAGGGGCAGTCCAGCCTGATGACAGGACAGGCGGCGGTCAGGGACGGGCTATGGAGGGCGGATTCTAACAGGTAGGGAAATGCCAAGCTCGGTTTGGGGCAGGTGGCGTTTGAGAGGCTGTGAAACATCAGCCGGTGGAGGCTGCGATTTCACAGTTATCTGATCACCGCCTGTGTCCTCACTGGGCTGCCGCGGGCTGGACGAAGAGAGGCCGCGTCCGCATTTGCTCCCCATCCCGACTCCAGAGAGGCCCGTGTCCGCCCCAGGGCTCAGTGCTGAGGGCGAGAACCAGGCAGTGCCGACCGCCTTCCCAGGAGGCCCGTTTTCCTCGCGCGCTGGACCTCGGGCACCTGCTCGTGCTGTGCTAGACGCTGGAGAGCTGTAGTTCCAGTGGGAGCGGGGGGTGCTCACATAAAAAATAAACGTAGTGACTAAATGTAGACGGGGAGCTGCCTTCCCAGCGGCGCTAGAAGCAGCCTTGGGAGCCGGAACCCAGGAGGAACGGGGCGGAGGTGTCTCGGTGCAAGGGGAGAGGAAGCAGCAGCACCGTGGCCAGAGCTGCCGGCGGACGCGGCACCGTGGGAAGCAAAGAGGGGCCCAGGGACGGGAGGGTGGGCAGAGCTGCGGACACCACGCGCCAGCGAGAGAAGAGCCACCGTGCTGGTGGACGCAGCAGGCGACACACACACACTGCACGCCCAGCATCATCACGGACAGTCTTACTAGGGTGTGTCCCATTTGAAATTATTCTCAAAGACGTCCAGTGGTTACGACACGACAAATACCTTATCGATGATGATGATGGTGTGTGAGTGTGTGATCCATGTGACTATTAGAATACAAATATCTGGACGGGAGGTAAGTCCACAAAATAAGTGAATTTATTTAGCAACTCAGACTCCGTAAGTTTCAAGAGACATCAACTCTAGTCTGGCTTTTAGCCGGGGGGCTGGTTCGGGCCTGTTTGTAGAATGCGCGGTATTAGAAGTTTAAGTTTACCTGTTTATAAAATTACGGGGTTAGACTACGTCATTTTAAGTAGCCTCCCAACTCCTAAAACATCAACAGAAATAAGGCTGAGTCTATGATTCTAGGCAGGTTCTCATCGGTTGATTGTACTTTAAACATTTTTCTTTCGTATCTAAAATGAAATGAACTGATGCCTTCATAGATACTCTTGATCTCTATTGGTAAGATGATGGACTAAAAATTCGCCAGAGTAGAAAGCACATAAGCAGTGAAATCACTCAATGTCTTCTGGACGCAAACACCGCTGCAGCCCGGTGAAGGCCGACTGTCCTCCCGAGGGTCTCCAGGCCGAACGCTTCCGCAGACGCTTTCCGGGTGCCCCACGGGCGGCCGCGTTCACATTTTTGTCTGTATTTCTTCTACCTCTTCTTGGTTCTCCTGTCTTGGCGCAAGCGGTCCGACTGGGTTCTTGGACTCCAGATACTCGACGGTGCCATAAGCCACCATGGCGACACTCAGGACCCCCAGGAGGACATAGAGCTTGACGTAGACGCAGAGGAACGTGCTGTACCCAAAGGCAACGACGAATCCCAGCGCTTCCCACAGGCGGTAGCTGGCGAAGGCGGCCTCCTTGTTCTCCTCAAATAGCACGCCGTAGAGAGCTGCGGGGAGAGGGTGACAGTGCAGTGAGATGTCACCCCGTGAGAGCTGCAGGGGGAGGTGACGGTGCAGCGAGATGTCACCCCGTGAGAGCTGCAGGGGGAGGGTGACGGTGCAGCGAGATGTCACCCTGTGAGAGCTGCAGGGGGAGGTGACGGTACAGCGAGATGTCACCCCGTGAGAGCTGCAGGGGGAGGTGACGGTGCAGCGAGATGTCACCCCGTGAGAGCTGCAGGGGGAGGTGACGGTACAGCGAGATGTCACCCCGTGAGAGCTGCAGGGGGAGGGTGATGGTATGAGAGCTGCAGGGGGAGGTGACGGTGCAGCGAGATGTCACCCCGTGAGAGCTGCAGGGGAGGGTGACAGTGCAGTGACAGAACCCCAGACACCGGCCTTCCCCTCACTGCGGGGAATAGTGAATCTTTCCCACCGCCCAATTTTCTCAACAGAATCAGGACCTTTTTCTTTGAAAACACAAGGATTCTTTCACACTGTGGATCACAGTGAGTCAGGTGACATCCTGTGGCAGGGAAGAACCGCCATCTCTACAAAGAACACAGAACTCAGGAAACAGCACTGACAGAACCTCGGCCACCCGCACGTACTCCGTAGACCGGAAGGACACAGCTCAGAGAGGGGACTCGGGGAAGGCCGGGCTTGGCGACAGGACGTTTCGGGAATATCGGAAACGTGTGCGTTAGCCTAGCAGGTGGGTGGTCTCCGTCTCAGTTTCCAGACGACCACAGCAGAGTCGAGGAGTCACTGCTGCGTGAGACTTCCGTTCCTGTCCCAGAGCGAGACTTCGCCAAGCCGGGCGCCCGCGCCCAGGGACTCCCACCTGCGCCT